CCTGATCCTACCTGTAGACAAAGGGGCTCTGTAGCGGAGCTTGCGAGCTGGGTCTTTCAGCAAAGAGTCGGCCTACAGCCCGTAGAGGTGATCAGTGCTTCACTGCCTTATGGAGCAGCCAGCTTTGTCTCCCAGCTTTTGGTGCTTGCGTGCAACGGGTCCGGATTTCAAGACATAAAGTAGGGTATCCACCTACATTCCAGAAAGAGATTGTATGTTTCTCTGTTTATGTGCCGAGAACGTCACAGATCCTGATTTTCAGGAGTCAGGAATCATTTTTGTCCCCAAATAAAGCATTTTCCAGGTGCATTATGGATTGGCTGTTGGTCTATTTTTAAACTATTGACTTAGGACAGGCATGTCCAAAGTCCGGCCCGCGGGCCAATTGCGGCCCGTGTTCTGGTTTAATACGGCCCCACAGGTAATTTGGCAATATCTATCTTTTATGGCTCCCAACGAATCCAAATGTATTGAGATGAATACATTGTAAAATCTCAGTTAATGTCAGTTGGTCTAAATCAGTTATAAATATATTTGGACACAACATGTATACTTGGTGTTATGTTCCTGTTCATATTTTTTTAACTTAAAAGTTGACAGACAACCTTTATTACCAATAATATGTAATGTACTTTACAATGTTCCTGACATATATTTCAGCTTCCTGGATTTTTTTTTCATCTGGCCTTCAGATATGAAAGGCAGAGTGATTTAACACCTGTTTAGATTTGTCATCCATGTGACGAAATGAAAAGTATGCTGTTTGCAATAAACTTTGCATAAAATAGTTAATTTGCATTTAATTTTAATGGTTCAAAGAATGTCAGGCAAAATGGTCGGCCCTCACGCATGTTCACTTCATCAAATCTGGCCCTCTTTGAAAAAAGTTTGGACACCCCTGACTTAGGAAGTGGAAATGAATTTCCAGACTCTTGCTGGGTGAAAATCCGAAATGAAGCAATGATTGCAATAGAGAGCTGTTGTTTAGCGCCTTCTGTTTAACATGATGTTATTCTGTTATTGAGTGAGCATCATTACAACACCAATGTCATTTCTAGAGATTTTATTAAACTGAGTGAAATCTCTACAGACTCGTATTTAACAGGCTGCTATGTCCATCGAATGTTGATATTTTAAAAAATGGAACAGATGTGCTAATTTTGTGTAGGGGAGGTTGTTTATTTGCTTTTGCAGGTGAATGTACGTTGTCTGAGTACTGAATGATAGGCAACCAAATATTTTAGGGTCCATCTACAAGGACAAGGTTGAATTAAGATACGCAACTTCGGCTACGTTACTTGTGTAGCAGAAGTTGAAGTACCTTCAGTCAACTTCTGGCGCTGTCAACACTGCAGGAAGTCGAAGGGAGACCCCTCTTTCTTCAACTTCCCTTACTCCTCGTGAAAGCAGGAATACCTGTGTCGACTGGAGCACCCTCTCAGCTTGAATGAGCATGTCTTCACTAGACCTGCACATTCAAACACTGGAAGATCGACTGCGGCTGCTTTATAGTGTAGACCAGTGTTTCTCAACCACTGGTACGAGTATCCTTAGGGGTACTCGAGAGAAGTCTGGGGGGTACATAGAGAATTCTTGTTTTAAGTTTTACAGCGTTTTATTGTGTCTGAAAACTGTAGGTACTGCGGGTACTTATATATTTAAAGGGGTACTTTATAAAAAAAGGTTGAGAAAAACTGATCTGGACAAACTGGAGACGGTTTGAGGTAAATAGGATGACGTTTAATAAGAACCAATGCAAAGTGCTCCACTTAGGAAGGAACAATCCGTGTCACACATACAGAATGGGAAGTGACTGTCTAGGAAGGAGTACGGCAGAAAGGGATCTAGGGGTCACAAGTTAAACATGAGTCAATTGTGTGACACTGTTGCAAAAAAGGCAACTCTGACTCTGGGATGCATTAAAAGGAGTGTTGTGAGCAAGACACAAGAAGTCATTCTCCCGCTCTGCTCTGCGCTGATTAGGCCTCAGTTGGAGGATTTTGGCCAGTTCTGGGCACCACATTTCGAGAGAGATGTGAAGAAATTGGAAAAGGTGCAGAGAAGAGCAACACAAATAATGAAAGGTCTAGAAAACATGAGTTATGAGGGGAATGCTGAAGGAATTGGGCTTGTTTAGTTTAGAGAAGGGAAGACTGAGGGGGGACATGCTAGCAGTTTTCAGGTATCTAAAAGGGTGTCAGAGGGAGGAGGAGGAGGGAAAATTGTTCTCCTTGGGCTCTGATGACAGGACAAGCAGCAATGGGCTTAAATTGCAGCAAGGAAGGTTTAGGTTGGACATTAGGAAAAACTTCCTGCCTGTCAGGGTGGTTAAACACTGGAATAAATTGCTTAGTGGGGTTGTGGAATCTCCACCTCCAGAGATATTTAAGAGCAGGTTAGACAGACACTTGTCAGGGATGAGCTAGACGGTGTCTGGTCCTGCCGTGAGGGCAGGAGACTGGACTTGATGGCCTCTCAAGGTCCCTTCCAGTTCTAGTGTCCTACGATTGTATGATCGTTTTATCCCTGTTTCTCAGGGCAACAATTCCCGCAGCCTGATGCCCAACTCTGGATTTCCATAGGTGCTGCCCACCTAGGGAGCAAGCCCAGAAATTCTGGCGCCTCAGTGATTTAATGGTCCTTGCTAATTACACAACCAGCGCATTGGTCCCATTTGCCGGAGTGCTGCTCTTGCCGTCCTTCATCCTGGACTGGCTGCCGAGGAAACGCAAGGGCATGGCCATGAACCGGTGTCATTCGGTGAGCCCAGGAAGCAGGCGTCCCTTTCCCGGCTTGTCGTGGTGCTGACAGGGTGTAAGGCAGGCGGCAGCAGCCGGGAATAGGTCCCATGCTCTTCGGTGGCCTAGGGCAGGCTTAGAGATTCCCCCGAGAGTGTCGTCGTGTCTACGTATCTATGTTTAGCACCATTATCGGTTCCAGCCAGGATAACGTGCTGCTTTCTTTTCACACGACCGGAGGTCATATTGCCTCCGAAAATAAACCAGAGGCACATCACATGGCCTTGGCAGAGCTGAGATTTCAGAGCTACTGTTAAAAAAACAAACAAAAACCTGAACAGAAAGCAGAGAGGATAAAATGAAACAAGAGAGGCAGGAGAAAAGCAGATTGGAGAGAGACACGCACAGGACTAGATTTTCAGTGAGTGTGAATTTGCGGATTGCCACTGAAGGAATGTCTGTACACCAGCTGAGGCTCTAACCAAGAGGAGGGGAACATATGGCCCGGGGCCAAATCCGGCCCCCAGCTTGCCTGGATCTAGCCCTGACGGCTCCTGCACCCTCTCTCCCGTGCTCTTGGGTCCCAACCTGTCACGGCCTAGTCCAGCTCTTACTGCTGCAAGTGGTTGCTTTATTCATGTTCTTATTCTTGCTCCCTTGCTCCAGCGGATGGGGGCTGGGCAGCTGGCAGCCCTTGGGGTTGTCCTGCTCAGTACAGCCTCAGGCCTCACAGATTCGGCCAGGCTGCTCCTCCAAGGCGAGGTGGCAATTCAAGGTCTAGGCCCCGTTTCGAGGCTGGGCTTGCAAGTGGGGGCTCTCGGTGGCGCTGGGGAAGGAGGGGGGGGGTGATGCTTATGCCTTTGTATGGTCCGACCATCCCCTTCTGCAGTTGGAAATCACAGTTCACCCTGATTCCCACAGATCAGGGGGCTGGACCTCTCACACGGGCGGCTGGTATGGTAGGCCAGAGAAGGCATTGCCTTCCCAAGCCGCCAGCTTGGCTCTGCCCACACTCCGCCCCCAGAACGCCTGCTGCAGGGGTGGAGTGTTGCTGCCCCCAGTGTCCGCCCTCCGCATACTCTGGGGAGGAGGGGCTGGAGCCTCATGCCACCCACCCTCCTGTGGTGCTGGGGGCGGGGCCTCAGCAGAAGGGGCGGGGCTGGAGCTTGCCTTTCCCAGCCCTACCTTCACCCACCACCCAACCCTCACCAAGACTATTTCAGATTTCCCTGCCTCTGCTGGCCCTCTATCACAGGTCGTTCTGATCCTCTGGACACGTGTTATACAGACGACTGGTGACAGGTGGTGCACCACAGGCTAGAGTACCGTGGTGAGCAGCAGTCAAGATGCAGGAAGGTTATTAAGACTTGGACCCTTGTGAATGCCCTAGAGAAGGAGGAGCGCTCTTTGCCTCCAATACAGCCTCAGCACAAGGGGTGGAGTGACTCCAAACGGCAGACAGATACACTGGGGTGCCCAGGTTTCCCCGTCTAGGAACAGTGTGAACTCCCGAGAGGAGTTTTCAGTTCAGAGGACTGCTCAGGTTTGGACTAGGCCAGCTGCCACGGTCGTGGTAAATCCATGTTGTCAGATGCAACCTCTTCCCTGGCTGAGTTCCAGGCAGCTTTGCTTTGTTCCCCAACGTCCCTAGAACTTCCCTAGCTGAGTCCGAAGCTCACAAGCTGGGGGGGATGGTCCCTCTCACCTGGGAAGGCCAATCAGAGCAGATTGCTGGGGGAGATGATCAGGGCAGAAGTCAGAAATGATCGTTAGATCATCTAATCCGACCTCCTGTCCATCACAGACCATCAGCATCGTCCAACCACTTCCACCCCACGCCCAGTAACCGGAATGAAATCAACGTCGCAGCCCTTCGGGACACTAAAATAGAACCGGGACTGCCCCATAGTTCCCCACCCCAGCCTCAATGAGCGTAATGGCCTCAAAGCACCTTAACAATTTAAGAATGCTCCCCGTGCCTCAGTTTCCCCACCTGCAAAATAAGGGTAGTGACACGTCCCTCTCCCCCAAGGGTGCTGAGGTGTACACAAGCGCCGTCCTTTGAATGGCAGGTACAAAGCATTTGGGGCAGAGTTGCCTGGAGATTTAAACGTCACCCACCTGCCGCTGAGTTCAATGTTTTCAAAAGGGCTCTCGGTCTATTGCAGTTCACTGAGGCCGGCCTCAGACTGTGAGGGGGAAAATGACCCACCCTGTCCCATGCACCTTTTTGGATGGAGATATTGGCGAGAAAGAACTGCATAGAGATGTCCTGGTATTTATTCCATTGGTACCATAGGATAAGGAGGGTAGATAAGGGGTAGATAGTCAGACGACAACTTGGCAAGGGTACATCACAATGGACAGGTAGATTTCCCCCTCACTATATGGTGCTGAATTCTGCTCTCTCCTTCAAGGAACACGACTAACAGTCGGTCCCAGACTGTGGACGTGACATGGCAGCTGAACGTGTTTCCTGCAAGTGACGTTCCTACGCGGAAGGGCAATTGTGGTCTCAGACAACTGCACACCCACCAGTCCTGATCCTACTTCTGACCGGGGTGTAACGGCTCTGTGCCTCAGTTTCCCCCTCTCTAAAACGGGACGGATATAACTGGCCCCTCCTTTGCCGAGTGTTTGGCGAGGGATGCCTGAAAGCTGCTCTCGGGAGTGTTGTTTCTTGGTGGTGCTATGGATGTGGGGATTTCCCTGTCACAGCTTGTGCCTGGAAAACAGGGGATACTGACCATCGCCTCCGGGGGCTTTGCTCCAGGCCTGCGTCACCGCAACAGGAGGGAAGGCAGAGGAGGCGAGCGATCTGCTCCTCTGCAGAGGTCTGCATGCTCCCATTCACCGGCCTGGCTCCGTAACACACATCACATGCCTCTCTCCCTTCTGCGCGAAAATACTAAACTGGGACGAGGAACTCGGTCAACCAATGTCACAAGCGGGTTTAGATCCCACCGCAGGACTGGCGCCTGGGGGAAGGGCGGACGGGACAATGCTGCCTCCTGACTCTGCCCTTCTGCTGGAAACCACGCTTCACGAGAGGGACAGGACACGTGCATTGGTTTCAGGGAATCTAGGCCGAGCATGGGGGTAGAAAAGGTCTCCAACTCACACAGGTAAGGGTGACAAACTCAGTGGGTCTCCCACTGGCTAGTTTTCCTAAACCACGGCTGCCCCCAGACCACCCGTCGCATCCCTCCTCCCCCCAACATTACACGGTTAAGACTGGGGTGTTAGATCGAGGGAAACAGCCAGGTCACATGACAGAACACTTTTCAGCTGACTGCTTCAGGTCCTCCAGTGTGGCCTGGGCTTTATCCTTCAGGGAATCAAGGTCCAGGCTCTGGATATTGGTCAGCTGTCCGATAACAGAGTCCTTTTCCTCTTCCTCCTCATTGTCTTGCTCGATCATCTTGGCCAGCTCCTTCGGGAGCTCCACATCCCCTCCTGCCAGCTGGATCTGACTGTCGTCCGTTTCATTCTACAGGGCGAGACGGATCAAGGAGAAGATGAGAGTCAGGCTCGGGAACAGAGATAAGGGAAGGAGGGAACAAGGAGGAGAGGAAAGAAAACAGAGGCCCCAGGTCAGCATTGTTCTTAATCACTTATGACTCAGGACCCCTGAATCAAACAGACTGGAGCACATGTTTCACTGTTTTGCTGAGTACTGCTGGATTTCAGCATATGCTTAACTTTACTCAGGTGCTTATCACTTGCTGAACAAGGACCAGACCGGGGGCATTAACACACTGATAAACCCCAGGACAACTGTGAAGGCACAATATAGGGACAGGACCAACAGCTGCAGCAGAAAAGATTCATGAAAGAAAATTGTCTCTCAATTCCAACTGAAACCTTACCTCTAATAGGAGCTGCATGAATGAGGCAGAGAGCCTCATGAATCAATACGGGGGCATTCACTTTGGACATGTTTCCACCACTTGTGTGTTTATGGGAACAAACCAGTGATCCAACTACCTGGCACTAATATGGGTAGACGATGAATTTTAGCTTGCGTATAAGAATGCATCTGTTCTTATCCAGTTGGGTTATTGAAACAATATCAAATGACTGATCTGACCTTTTAAAACTAAATCAATCCAGGGGCAATTTAGAATATTGACAGTCAAGTCAGAGCATTCACAATAGCCCTTTTTGTTGTTAAATGAAACTAAGGAAACTGTGATGCTCTTGAATTATTCCTTGAACAAAGAAAGAGGCTGAATTATTGGAGATTAAATGGTTCCCAGTGAATCATTCATACAGCTCTATGCAGACGTACCAAAGTAATGAAACAGAGAGGGAGACGGTGCCTGTTGAAGGAAGATGTTCTTACAACTCTCTTAATGAAATCAATGGGAGGTAGGCGTCGAAATACCTTGGAGGATCTAGGCGCAAGTGATTGACTTCAGCAGTTCCTTCTGATTTACTTTTTATACTGAGGGAGCAACCAAAACACTGGTGAAACTGACATCAGTGAGAGCGGATGCCCAATGGGGCTTTGCAGACAGAAAGCCATAAAGAGCAGAAGATGAGTGACAGTCCAGCAGAATGGTCACATGACAGACTGCCAGAAAAAAAAAAGCTGGACAGTTAAGCCTATTGCTAATTGCCACTCAGAGAGACGGCTTCCTTCAGGCCAGCTGGACAGGCGTTTGCCTAGCGAAGTGGTACTGCTAGCTGCTAGGCAACGTGTCAGGTTGCACTGTGGTATAAGAGTCTGCAGAATTGGTATCGTATAGAATCCACCAGCCAGCCAGATTTAGAAAGAGGTCTGATTAATGAGTCGGAGAATTCATCAGCTAGAAAAATGTCATTGCTGTCAAATCAGGCACGTATCTGGTGGTCCTCACCAGGGCTGAAGGAGATGCTAGAACTGGTGCCGTTTCTCTATACCACATTAAACATGAATGGTAAATGGCTAACCGTTATCCAGTCTGACAAAAAAAACCATAACCGTCACAAAAAGAGCCATCACTAGACGAAACATTGGCTAATTTTGGCCAAAATTGTCAGAAAGTTTCTTAATACAATTGCTAGTGCAACTATGCGCTCAAACGAGTACTGGTCTGGGAAATATTTAGCCCTGGGTGAGAGAGGTGATGCATTGTCCTGGTTTTTTAGGCCTTTGGGTAATGCAAAAATCATTAGTCACACAAGAGTATGAGCCTGTTTCCACCAGGAAGTCCATTGATATGTTTGTACTTTCTAGCCTAGATTGATAGGGAGGGGTTTTTCTGTTTGTTGGTTTATAGTTTATGACTATTGGCTACTGTCGAATGATTCCTGTACTGGCAATTGATGTTAATGTCGTGCGTGCCGTGATGATGACGTATGAGGAGATGTTCTGCTCTCGGAGCCAAGGCGGAGCCTATGTTATGTGTGATAGAATCGTAAGACCATAAGAACGGCCATATTGGGTCAGACCAAAGGTCCATTGAGCCCTGTAGCCTGTCTGCCGACGGTGGCCAATGCCAGATGCCCCAGGGGGAGTGAACAGAAACAGGGACTCCTCAAGTGATCCCTCCCGTCACCCATTCCCAGCCCCAGACAAACAGGCCCCGTACATCCCGACCCAGCCTGGCTAATAAGTATGGATGGACTTAACCGCCATGAATCTAGTTATTTTTTGACTCCTGTTAAAGTCCTGGTCTTCACAACATCATAGAATACTGGAGCTGGAAGAGGCCTCGCGAGGTCATTGAGTCCAGTCCTCTGCCCCCACGGCAGGACCAAGCACCATGTAGACAGAGGCGTAGGGAGGGGAGGTGGGGGGGCAGTTGCCCCCAGGCGCTGCGCTAGGGGGGCACCGGGCTGGGGTAGGAGCAGAGTGCACAGCCCCATGGGTCGCGGCGAGTAGCAAACCCGGTGCAATATCGTACTGTATGGAACTACTCCTTGTAGGAGTGTGCTACTTCTGGTAGCAGTTTCCTGTAGGAGCATTTCCTTACGATCGTACGAATAGGAAAATGCTACTGGTAGCACATTCCTATAAGGTAGCACCTTTGTACATTACATCCTACTGGTAGCACATTCCTATAAGGTAGCACCTTTGTACATTACATCCTACCAGTAGCACATTCCTATAAGGTAGCACCTTTGTACATTACATCCTACCGGTAGCACATTCCTATAAGGTAGCACCTTTGTACATTACATCCTACCGGTAGCACATTCCTATAAGGTAGCACCTTTGTACATTACACCCTACCAGTAGCACATTCCTATAAGGTAGCACCTTTCTACATTACACCCTACCGGTAGCACATTCCTATAAGGTAGCACCTTTGTACATTACATCCTACCAGTAGCACATTCCTATAAGGTAGCACCTTTGTACATTACATCCTACCAGTAGCACATTCCTATAAGGTAGCACCTTTCTACATTACACCCTACCGGTAGCACATTCCTATAAGGTAGCACCTTTGTACATTACATCCTACCAGTAGCACATTCCTATAAGGTAGCACCTTTCTACATTACACCCTACCGGTAGCACATTCCTATAAGGTAGCACCTTTGTACATTACATCCTACCAGTAGCACATTCCTATAAGGTAGCACCTTTCTACATTACACCCTACCGGTAGCACATTCCTATAAGGTAGCACCTTTGTACATTACATCCTACCAGTAGCACATTCCTATAAGGTAGCACCTTTCTACATTACACCCTACCGGTAGCACATTCCTATAAGGTAGCACCTTTGTACATTACATCCTACCAGTAGCACATTCCTATAAGGTAGCACCTTTCTACATTACACCCTACCGGTAGCACATTCCTATAAGGTAGCACCTTTGTACATTACATCCTACCAGTAGCACATTCCTATAAGGTAGCACCTTTCTACATTACACCCTACCGGTAGCACATTCCTATAAGGTAGCACCTTTGTACATTACATCCTACCAGTAGCACATTCCTATAAGGTAGCACCTTTCTACATTACACCCTACCGGTAGCACATTCCTATAAGGTAGCACCTTTGTACATTACATCCTACCAGTAGCACATTCCTTATGTGTGCAGGGGAGGGGCATTAGGTTGGAGCAGGGAGTCTGGGGGTGCCTGGCTCTGGGGAAGGGGTGGGTACATTAGGTACTTATAATTTTTTTAAAAGGAGTACTTTATACTGCTCTAAACCAGTGTTTCTCAACCAGTGGTAGGAGTACCCTTGGGGGGTAATTGAGAGAAGTCTGGGGGTACATCAACACGACTGAAATGTGGAGAAAACAGAATTTTTGTTTTAAGTTTTACGCCGCTTTATTGGTTTTGTACGTTTTACACCCAAAAATTTCATCACCTGTCTGGTTACGATTAAGTTGTTTAAACAAATGTGTTGCAATGGGAGAAAAAAATTGTGTGTCTGAAAACTGTAGGTACTGGGGGTACTTATAATTTTTTTTTTTTTTGAAAAAGGGGTACTTTATTTAAAAAAAAAAGGTTGAGAACCACTGCTCTAAACCGTTCCTTTTGGCCTCCCTGTTTCCTTTCTCTTTTGGTGAGTTGGGCAGTAGTTTTGGTAAAAATAGATCAGACTTTGTCCGCTCTACCTCGGCTGGTGCTGGATAATCCAGGCCTCAAGTCTAAGGGAGTTGGCATTACTGAGGTGATCGAGTCCCTCCAAGTTTTGTTGTGGATTTTCCAAAGAAAATGCTGGTGTTTTTATAGGTCACCCACATCTCCCAGTCATGGCAGAGACCTGGGATTAACGTGGCTTTCTCAACTAAAAGTCTTATATGTGTTTGGATGCTGGGATTGTGAACACCTGGCGGGGCAGTCTGCCAAAGGCAAGGCTGGCCTTGAATCTCGACAGCTATGGCTACAGTTGAATGGCTTGTGTGAAATTTGGAAGAGCAGCTCAGAGAGACCTCGCTCCTTTACTAAGGATAGAATTTCATGGCAGCCTGAAGGACAAAGTTCTCGTGGCAGACAGAAAGCCAGGCTTGCAATGTAACCTCAGCCTTAGGCTACTTATTGCTTCAAGTGCTTTCAAGAAAGTGAGGGTGATTCTCGTGCTGTGCTTTTGTTTTATTTAAAAGTTTTTCTGAGTGTTATTTTAGCAGGCAAATTAATCTCTTACATTCACTGAGGGTATGTCTACACTACCACCCTAGTTCGAACTAGGGTGGTAGTGTAGACATACCCTGACATAGCAAAGGGTGTATAGGGGGGTAGTTTTCCCCGAGCACCACAGTAAGGACTAATTTAGTGCCTCTCCACTCCCCCTGTCATCCCTCAGCTTGCCTGCTCCTCCTCCAGCCACCACTGCCAGCTGGAGCCTCCTCCCCACCTCTCTGCCCCCAACCCTACCCTCCTCCATCTTTTGATAGTGTGTGGGGTTGGGGAAAGACGTGGTACAAGCCCCCTCCTCCCCCGTCCTCCCAGGGTTGGGCTCAGCTGTGTGCCAGGTTCGGGGCCCTGCCACATGGTGGCAGTGTGTGTGTGTGTGTGTGTGTGTGTGTGCAAATTTT